TCTTCTAGCTCAGGGGGCTGGGTAAGCCAAGAACAACTGGTCTGACTATTAAAGACTGAGGCAAAGAAGGCATTAGGTACCTCAGACTTTTCCTCATCCTTTGTCACTATGTCACTATTTTTCCCCTGCATCCAATAATAATGGGTTGTGATGTTCCACTAAAACTGAACTTGAGGTATTGAATTCTAAAAGCCAATACATGCCTACTCTGCAGATCCCTGATGAATTCTTTACTAGTGTAAGTCATCAAAGAAAGGTATCTGTCACTCTGAATCTCAGATATACTGCATTTCATTCTTCTTCCACATTTTTCTTTGAGCAGGTTCCAGGATCAGTTTTAGAATTACATGGAGGATAGTGTCACTTACATGCATTCATTTACTCTTTTTCACATAAACCCCGTTAGTCTTTTCTGCACAGCTGGTCAAATGAACCGTATTTTTTCCCCTCTTTGATAACAAGAAAGTTTACTTTTTTTTTAAAATTGATGTTGTGTCTGTAGTATCCCCAGAACTCCCCACCCTATCTACTGCTAATACTGCCAGGGTGTAACAAAAAGGATTTTCAGAGGTATTGACATTGCAATTGTTCAAAGAATGGATGGTAGAAAGGTAGAGGGATGCCTATTCACCCCGCCCCCTGAAATAAAAAAAAAGAAAAAAAGGTATAGACAACCTGAAGGAAATAAAACATAGCAAGTGTCAGTTGGGAGAAATAGTTTTCCAAGAACTGCTTCATCCTGTAGACATAGTACAAGCAGAGGATTATTGTTTACTCATCCTGGACTTCATAAAACCACCACAGAGTCCTTTTCAGTTACTGTAACAGTGAGACTCAACATGAAGGTTGGCCCTACCCTTTTCATCATATTTGGATACATAAAATGTTGCTTTTGTTATGAGAGTATAATGTGTAAACTGCAATAAAGATGTAAGATGAACCAGTCCAGAAATCAAAATGTGCTCCTTTTCTATAAAGAAAAGGATTCCTCTACTTCTGATTACCAAGACTTTTTATGAAGCAAACTAGCAAGTAAGCTTAGATGAGAATACCTTGGTTTTGATCTAAGAGTTTCCCGCAGAAGAGGGTATTATCAAAATTTACTGATTATCTAAGGTTTCATGATAGGGAAAAGATGGTCACGAAAATACTTGCCTTTGTTACTGAACAGAGGTATTATTAATGTCAGTGCCATATAAGCATAGGAAGCTAGTGGCCTGGAAACTTGCCACCACGTGGCTAAAAAATTTCAGTTACACAGTTCAAATGGCAGCAGCTGCTTTAAATTTAAAGGGCAAGAACTAAACAATCCATGACTTCAGTGGGAGACAAACAAGCCCTAAGTTTTCTTCTATCGTCTTTATATTTAGCTTCTCCTCCATAGCCCCCCTGTACTGAGTGTCTGTTAGAACTGGCCTTGGTACGTCTCAAAAACACTCAGAAACCTATGCTGCCAAATCCAATGGCCATCCATTGTTTTTAAAAAGGGGATACTGTTCCCCTTTGGACTTAACTGTAGCCTCATCCTCACACCAGCCAGTTTTTCCAAGCCTGTATTTTCCTCTGCTGCAGTACATCCAATGTAATCATGTTTAGTACTTTCCAAACAACAAAGCAGATGTTCTTTGTAATGCAGTTTTTGAAGAATGCACATGAGGCTCAAGCCAGTGACAGTGTAATCCACCAAATGCCTGCAAAGGAATCCACATCTCTGACTAACAAGTTTTCTTACTGAAGTCATTTTAGGGGATGCCAACATTAAGGATAAAATATGCAGAAAAAAGGCCAGATATTGCCTTGAGGGACCTACTCGTCAATGCACCAGAAACTACGCAATGACTCTTCTTCCAGAACTGGTGGAGAAGAAGTGCACAGTGTAAAATATACCTTTTGCACTTTAAGACATTTTACCAGCAAACTGTTTCAAATTAAACCCAGATGAGTAATGGTAAAGCAATGAGGTTTTCCCTGGGTTCAGTAAAAACAGCTGGTATTGCTGCTATTAATCATGTATGTGTGCATTAAAAGGTCTTGTATGTCTGAGAAAAGCGTCTCAGTCAGGTAGTAGCAATGTACAACAGCCTCTGGGACCTTTGCCTATAGAAAGAAAACCAGACCACTTGCTGGCAATGCATCCCTGCATGCTACTTGTACTTGAATGCATTTATTCTGATGCCCTCATCAATAATACTTTAAAAATTAAATGCCTCATAACTAAATTCACATATTAGTGAATAACAACACTCCTACTCCAAGGTTTTTTTAAAACATGATGCTAAAACATATAGGCTCAACAACACTCAGTATACTACTAATTGCAACACAACTAAGCTGTAAGACTTCTTCCAGCAAGACAAAATAAAACAAGCCTTGAAATACCATTTTGAAAAGTACTGTGCCCATATCCACCACTTTACCCTAAGAAAGGGCTTGTGAAGATGCTAGGTATTTCAGACCTAGAGTTTGCAAAATACATTTATTCCTTAATAGTAGTAGCCCAGAGTTGTTTGTTTCGGTCAAATATGACTCACAAGTCAGTATATCTCTGAAGCTTGCATGGGAAGGGAATTTCTGGTGCAACTGTATGAGTATTTGCTCTGTCATGAATAATTTGTTTTTTGGAAAGTGGCAAAACATCAAAAGGCCTTTCAGGTTTCTTTGTTTTCTGGTTAGCCTTCTGATAATACAGGATAAGAAACAGCCGAACATCACCTTATTTTAATACATACATTTGCGTTCTCTCTCTTTACCACAGGTACAGAAAATAATTACTTTCTAAGATACAGGGGTTACAAAGAGACTGATTGAATTAAACTTTGTGCCTATTCCACATACCAGTCATCACCAGAGGTGAACTGTGAATACTGGAATGTCTTTATCTCCCACTTGCTATGAGTGACCTGCAAGACATGAAGGCCTAGAGCCAAAAGTTAGCTGTGTTAAGACCACTGGGTTTACACAAGATGATTGTTTTGTTTGGATACCTAGTTGAAGGACTTCTAATTTTTTCATTTTGAAGCATGGAAGAACTGCTGCATGAAGATGGAATAGAAAACTAAAGAAGAATTTCTTCAAAGAGAAAAACAAAATCCTGTTTCACAACTGCTTAGAGGGTAGAAGTCTGCCACTGCACTGGTTAGCAGAGGACAAATTCTTTGTTCAGTGTAGCAGGGAGATACATAGATGTGTGTGCCCATACGCTTTTTCAGCAAGGCACTGACAACACTCGTAATGAAACACAGGAGATATTCTAGAGGGCCCCAAAATTCCAGGACAACTTTCTCTCCATTTGATCAATTAACATCTACGGCTTGAAGAGTATTCTCAGTATATCTTTTCTTTTAAATTAACGTAATCTCTAATGAAAATGTGGGTTCACACCTCAATCAGAAACCAGTCCATTTGAGCTCCACCTGTCTCCAGAACAGGTACTTCCTTTCAAGAGGGAAGATAAGTCCTTCTACCACCGAGGGACAGGAAGACAAGCAAATCTCCAGGGCTAGATAGTCACTATATCAGCAAATCTGGCTGGGGGAATGTGGATGACAAGGCACTCTGGAAAGCAGGCAATTGCCAATTCATTAAAAGCCCTGAAGAGTAGGACTGGGGATATAAACTTTTGTGAAGACTTGAGTGGGACGGCAGAAAAGTTCTCACAACTTAGGTTTGACACTTGGCAGCTTTTGCTGTTTCTGAGATATATAACATCAGCTAACATCAGCTTTTGTGTGGGAGCCATGCTGTGTCCAGCAGAATGGCAGTCATCTAAATCTGCTAGTCACCAAAGAAAACGTTTTCCCTATCATACTATGGCCTCATCAGGGAGAAGATTTTCTAGCCCGTTGGAGAAGTATAGAAGCATTTCTTAGTGTAACTGCAACTTATTTGCACATTTGGAAAAGGGGTAGAGTTTGAGAAGGTTTCTGGGGTTTCTTAGTGCTTTAACCATCTCTGGTAGGAGGCAGTGCTCTTGATCACTGATTTAGCAAGATTTATCTGGGAAGGACTGCCAATGTTTTCTTCCAAGAAAATTTCTGCTAGTAGACCAGAGAAACAGAAATATCACTGGGAAGTCTTTCAATTTGCTGAGCGCAAATACACAAAATGATGCCCCTCATCTCCAGGGACCGAAATTGCACTAATGTTGGAAATACTGCATTGGATAAAGAGATACTTGCTTGAGTCCAGTCTGGAGAAAAAGAGACTATTTGATGCAGCGTCACAGTTTCTCCAAGAACATAACACAGAGGTGACAGGATAAGAAAAAGGACTGATCTTTCTTAGTGGTTGATGTTAGAGTGGGTGGACATTCAAAAGCAAGTATCCATCACAGATATGTGGGATGAAGGATATGGCTGACTTTTAAAGATTTTAATAGGCTGTTTTTAAATGGACCCATTCATTTCAAAGTACTAGTGCAACTTCTCAGCATTGTCCTACTAGGAGCCTTTCATGGGTTGAGCATACTACTTCAATATGCAAGGACAAAAAAAGAATATGGAAATTGGTAACATCAGAAGTCATAACCATACTCACAAAGCTTAAAGAAAATAGTAGTAGAGAACTACTATTTTGTCTGATTTTTACTAATAGTGAACAAAGGATGAGAAAGGAGAAAAATGAAAAATAAGTGCCAATCGTATGTAGAAACACACTTCCACTCAGCTTCCTTCTGTAACACTGAGCCTGTTACTATTTTCTTCACATTTCCAGCCATCTAATAATTGGTAAGTCACACAAGACTATCAAAATTGACTAATATTTGTTTTGGAGATGATGTCCTTCAACAGCTTTACAGCCTACTCTTCTACTGATAAAGACTGAGATTGCCATCTTTGAGTTCATTTTCACTTCACTCCCCATCTCTCTTAGAAAAAATAATTAGCCTATGCCTGCCAGTGAACCTACTGTAACGACTTGACTGTTCTTTGCTGATGCTGCCATCTCAGTGCAGGTTCTGCATGCTGAATGGACTGTGAAGTTGCATTGTCATACTATACCTGTTGGCCAAGAGCTGCGACCTAGTTCCAGAAGGAGAGGTTAGGTAAATTGCCAAGTCTCCACGTCGAGGGTGAGTAATAGTGATGCGCACAACGACATGCTCCAAGTAGATCACATGGTGGTTAGGATTATCTGAACAGCCAGTGGCTTTGTAAATTGAACGGACAACACTGTCAGGTCGTATTGTTCTATAACATAAGCATAAAAAACAACATCACCATTTCTTGCTTGTTCTGTAAAACAAGACAACCACATCTTTTTTGCTTGGTAGTGAATGACAGTGTTTGACAATTGTTTCTGAGAAGTCAGTAGCTTATAACCCTTAGTTTTAACACTTATTTCCTAGCTGAAACTATCACCACAGGGTAATTATTTTACTGCAACTAATGGCAACTATCTGGCTTTCTGTTAAGCATGTACACATGCTAAAAGAGGACAAGTGAAAAACCTGTTATAGGAATAAGCCTTTGGGACAAGCATTTTTGTGGATTAGTGGCCAGCTGAGAATTGTTGGGATCGTCATGGGATCACAGCTGGTTGTTAAGCCCCAGGAAATGCCTGGCATAGACATAGTCCTTGCTTACGTAATAGCAAGTATTACATGTTAACTGTACCAAATGGCATCTGACTCAGCTGGTTTAAATTGACATGACATCCTTGCAGACTATACCAGTTATGGAGCCTGTCAAGCATATTTATCAAACAATAATCTTAATGCTTTGGAAGCGTGCCTTATGGTTGATGCTGTCTCTGTATCCATAGAGTGCACACACAGAATTTTGCTCTTAAGCCTGGCTCTATAGAGACCCTATCCTAGCAAGCGGAAAGCAGTTTAGTCTTAGCCTCTGAGCTAGAGACTCTCCTGAGACTGTTTGAGAGCGATAATATCATGCAGTACTTTCATAAAAAGAGTATTTGCTTGTTAGATCCTGGACTGATAAGTTTGTACTTATCTTACAAAGGTGACTGCAGTGCACTCAACCAAACATTCTTCTTCAGTGCATCACCTATACCAGAATCAATCATTATCCAGCCCAGCTTGTTTTACACCTTCAACTTCTGGGGCATTCTTTAAGCTAGGGCCTTTCTCCAAGCACTACAGGGAACAACCTTTACACGCAAATGATCTGACTTTTGTGAAGGTGACAGAGGTCCCCAGTATAGCTTTCAAAATGACACATTATACACAATGCAAGGGAGGGGTAAATTATACCCAATTTCTTTCCATAAGTTTATGCCAGCAAGCGTTTTGGCAGCGAGTATTACTTGATTTGCCGATCCGTGTTTTCCACACACACGTGCTGTGGAGGGACTGTTGTCCACTTTTCTGCTTCTATCACCATTGCTTCAGCATCCATCAGTCCAAATCCATAGAGGTGGCTCACTGCAAGGTACAAACAGAATGGTTGCAATTATAGCATAAAGCCTTGTTTTTCATCATAGACTAATTAGAGAGTCATATCCTAACAGGAACTGATTCTTTTCTACTTCTTCCTTGCTTTTGCGCAAAGCTCAAAAATCTCCTTGCTAGAAACAATAATGACTGTATCTAATTTGTCCACCAAATCTGTTCACTGCTTTATTACAGAAGCAGCAAATGATCATCATGAATTACACTGCCTTACCATGAGAGGCGTGGACCAGAACTGCAGAACACCAGGGAGTAAAATTGCCTCCGATTGCCTTTTGTCCACGTGCCTTAATTCAGCCCAGTCCTCTTATATGGCATAATGTTAAAAGGTGTAAAGAACCAGAGGAGGGTTTTTTCTGTTACTTAAATACCAAACACATGCATGTATGTAAATATTGAAGGTAACTGAGACAATAAATTTAAGAAGGAACAGATGTCTTTTGTAACTGTTGTACACTCTTAACTTCCCTGAGTGTAAGCAGCATGTGGATGCTCTCCTATTGCTGTACGCAGCATGGTTGCCACTGGCCAGACAACCAGCTAGATCCAACATCTCCCTAAAGCTGTCTGAATGATGAGGCTGAAAAGCAGAGGTATTTGAAATCCAGGGCCCTAAAGATAATCTGGTTCTCATGCAGAGACTGTGTCAGAAAGGCTTCTTCCTCTACCTCCTTTGTGGATCTGAGCATGAAGGACAGATCTGCAGATGAAGTTACTGCTGGAGAGAGCTGTTAACATTGCTGTCGAGTTCTGATATTACCTACTGCATGCATCGCACACACAGTGGTACTCAGCATCCATGCCTGGAGATTAGCACTCTGTTAATGCTCATTCCTCAATGTTAGTCCTCACCTCTCTCTGCCTTTCACGCCATGGAGAGTCAACAATGGTCCCCTTGCAAGAAACTAAATGCCTAGTAATTTAACTTTAATGCTGGCATGCCTTCTACTCAAAAAAGCAGAAGGCTTTAAAGCATCATCTTTCTTAGGATACAAAAAATCAGACTTTCAAATGCCCAACACCTAGACAAGGTGCAGTATTTCCAACAGACTTGAGCCAACTCTGTGTCTTTCACTTTTTTGTAATTTTAAGAGTACTTAACTTGATGTAACTTTCAAGAGTTCCAGCAGTTCACAAAGGTTAAAAGTTTCACTTACTGAATCAGCTCTGTGTTTTTGGTTGCTGTTCCAATCAAAACAGAAGCTCCCAAATGGATTTTGATGAATTAGAAAGAGCTGCTAGCCATGTCTTTTGTTGTGAGAATCAGTGCTCTTAGTAAAGTTCTGACAGGAGAAGTTGAAAGAAAAAAGCTTCCAGAGGGAGGAGTTTAGATCACAAATATTAATAAATCAGTTTTACTTGCTACCACAGACAGTGCTACCAGAAAACCCTCAGAAAAACATAAGTGCTATTTTAATCAGTAATGCGACAAGGCATGGTGTAAGTCTTTCCAACTGCACTTTGCAGAGGGTTTGTGAATGCAGCCTCCATTCATTGCCAAACCAGAATTCAAAGGACTGCATCCAAAAAAACCCCAACCTTGTAAAACAAATAGCAGTTCAAATCATAAAAATAATCAGTGCTTCAGGATCCCATCTTCCAAATATGGCAGTATCTAATACTGTCTGCAACTGCCAACTGAAGAGGGTTCCTCAATGGAAAATACTGCAAGGCGTAACGAGTGTGTAATGAACTGGTTTTTTTCCCATCTCCTTCCTCTTCAGCCCCAAACTGAAGTGTACATAGCATGGAAATGTTCATTTGGAGAGAACTAAACACAGCTCTTCTGCCAAATGAGGTAGGTACCTTTTTCAGAAATGAAACACAACGACTAAAATTTATGAAAATAATTAAATTCAGCCCTCCTTCAGACTTCTGAATTCTAAGAGACATCCTATTTTTACACATCGGGGGAGGCAGCCAGAAAAAGGGCAAGGAAAGCTTAAGTGGAGAAACTGTACTGTGAAGATGGTTCCTGGGATGGAAATCTCCTTGGTCATAGATGTCATCTTGCAGAAACTGCATCTACTGATGAGAGCATATTTATATGTGAAGTAATTTGTCTGTTCTTACACTGCATGCATTGCTCTGATATTTAAAATTTTAATTAATAATCATTCTGTCTGCTCTGAAGAACAGTGGGAAGAACAAGAGTGTTAACTCACATGGTCAGTAACTGTACACAGTTACTCAGTATAGTACTACATTTAAACAGTGAGAGGTTAGATTCTCAAGAATGGAAAAATCTTTTGAGCTAACCCATGGAAAATGCATTTTTAATTCCTGACAGGTAGCAACCTGCATTGGGTTAGCGCTCAGGATGTCCAGCTGTAAAATGCTGTGTGTACTACTAGTGCTGTGTGCAACTACTGAGCTCAAAGAAGAGCCAAATTTCTCCTCAACTCACCTTCTCTCACCCAGAAATAAGGGCAGAAGAGCACCTAACATTGCCAACACCAGGCAGTGACCTTCTGATGGAAACTTAAAGTGGCTTTTAAGCCACTTCTCCCTAGAAATTTTTTTCCCTAATATGCACATTAAAAATACAAATAAAATCTAGAGAGTGAACTTTACATCTTTCCTACCCTAAAAATTACTTGGAAGGTAGAATTCTGTTCATTTTTCATCCAGGAGAAAAAATTACCACCCAAGCTTACGTGGTTGTGTTAGTTGTCCATGATTCAATGCTTAAACTCTCTTGCATGAAAGCAGAGGTGGGAGTGAGGAGTTCTGCACCTGCTGGCTTTTTTTTTCCATAGCTGAAACAGACATTTTTTCCTTGAAAGGCCTTCCCATCAAAATAAAAACTTCCTGACAGTCAGGGGTGCTCCTAAATCTGTCCACATGGGAAGCTTCGAGGCAGCTGACATTTGGCTGTCTGCAATGTTTGCACTTCAAAGCCCTTGATCCAGTGGGTTGGTTAGCAGCTGCAGGTACCAGCTGAGGCCCATAATTTTCAAAGACTAAATAATAGCAATTTACGAAAGAATCACAGAGTTAACAAAAGTAGTTGATCCCTTGTGTTTTAGAGAAGAAAGCAGATTTTGTTTCCTACTGCCTTCAAATTGCACCCCTTCATCTGTGTATATGCTAGTCCTTCTGTGAACTCTATCCCAGGGTGCCCCTCCCAGAGGTTAAAAATTACCTCAATGGTCCACACAGGGCCATAAATGTCTTCTGGGAAACATCTACAACTGCCACTGATTTGTATGTGAATGGTACTGAGCTCGCTTCTGGTAATCCAGATAGAAAAGCAATATTTGAAAGATGCTGATGATTGCAGAGTGAGATAAGTTGACTGCAAGTGCAAAATACCCCAGGAGCTTGCACATACCCACTTATGTGCTCTATGTCATCACTGTAATGAATTGCTGTGAATTGCTACTGGGCTCGGTTGTTGCTAGGAATCACTGCCCATGTCAGATGGGGTATAGGGTTGTTTTATAAGAAGATAATTTGCTTTTCAGAGGCAGAATAGGAATGTGAGGTTGGTGTAATGTAAGCTAGTGACTAAGGAGCAGACTGTTGCTCTTGTTGAGCTGAAGGGATAAAACTCTGATCTCCTGGTGATCAAGGTGTCCATGGGCAGAACTGTCGTTGAATCCTCTCTCTATTCATGCAGCAATGCAAACTGATCCATTCCTATTTCTGCAAAATCACAGGCATACACAGAGCTTTACAGATGCAGGACAAGTTTCAGAGAAAAACTTGCCTCCTGCAACACAAAGTAAATATTGAGTTTTAGCTGATCTCTTTACTCTTCTTATCATTAAAGAAAATAACATTTCTTGGGGCTAAAGTCCATTTATTTATCCCTGGAGCACTTCCTTTATTAGTGCACCATGAAATCAAGTCCTGCTCAGCTGCTGGATAGACTTCCCCAGCTTTTTCATAATCCCTTTGTTTTTGTCTGAAACTGCTATTGAAAATTCAATAACTTTCTCATTTATATACAAAGAGTATGTACAGCTCCCCCCAAATCTAAAGGCAGCATGTATATCCCACTTGAGTTGACTAAGAGAAATATGAATGGCTGGTGTTGATAAATCATAACACAGAATCATGCAGACTCCAGGAAAACTAGGCCCAGACACTGAAAAAACAGCATTTCCAGTGCCTCAGTACAGCTAAACTTGATTTGTTAGGCTGCAGTTTCATTGCCTGTCATCAGGATGTCTCTTCAGTAGCTTAGATGCTAAACCTCCCTTGCTATTTTGCTCATCTGACAAAAAACATTGCAGAATATTTTCTCCCTACTATATTTTTGGCCTTTAATTTTCTATACTGTGAAAGCAGCATTGTAAATATAAATATTTTGTATACACATATCAAACACTAAATCAGGAGAGAAATGGTAATAACTTCAGTTTGTCCAATGAGGACTATTGAGCTTTCCTAAATGAGATTAATCTGTTTGACATGTAAATTATTATCACTTGTTCATTTATGGTACTTTAGGATCTTGATCCAGTCTCATCCAAAATGATACCGACAAAACAGGACTCTAAAATGACCCTTATACTGTGGTTTTCTTAAATGTTGCTTAACAAGACTAGAAGATTTGAGACTCTCGAGTTACTCTCATTCTATAAATACTTCAAACTGACCTACACCAGTATTTCTTTTACATTTGACATTTTATTTGCAAATATAAAGCTCTGATTCTATATTACACTAAGTTTCTGCCATTTGCTTAGAATATCAAAATGCTTCAACCAGGAAAGACAATTTAGACAATTGTCTAAAGAAAATCAAGGGACAAAAAAAGGAGAAATGCTATGATGACACATGGCTTAAGCAATTTTAATTTTGTTTTGCTATGTCCTGACTAAGAGAACATCGATCTTGAATGGAATTCATCTTGTTTCAGCCATATTCCCATTTCATGTCAACCTATGACCAGTAATCTGTGATAACTGGATGTGATTTCTGAAACACATAACTGCTTTGCAAGCCAATAACCCAACTGTGCA